GGGAAAAATGGGGAAATTCTGGGAAAAAAAGTGGGAAAAGGAGGGGGATGGGGCCGTACTTGCTGGGAATGTCCTGGAGCTCCGGGAAGAGCAGCTGGATCGGCTGCTCCTCAAACTGGTGAGAGCCTGGATTCTGGAAAAACGGGGAAAAACGGGGAAAAATTGGGAAAAATGGGGAAAAAAATGGGGAAAAATGGGAGAAAATGGGGGAAAAATGGGGAAAAAAATGGGGAAAAATGAATGGGGGATTTTGGGGAGACGTTCCCAGGGGAATTTGGGAGGGATTTGGGCTCTCACGTCGCGGTCCAGGCTGATTTTTGGGACTTTTGGGTGTTTTTGGGGTATTTTTGGGGTATTTTTGGGTGGTTTTGGGATATTTTTGGGGTATTTTTGGGGTATTTTTGGGGTATTTTTGGGTGTTTTCAGGCTCTCACATTGCAGTACAGGTGGATTTGGCGGGTTTTTGGGTGATTTTGGGATATTTTTGGGATATTTTGGACTCTCACCTCACGGTACAGGCGGATTTAGATGGATCTGGGTGGATTTGGATGGATTTGAATGGATTTGGGTGTTTTGGGATATTTTTGAGATATTTTCGGGTATTTTTATGATATTTTCAGGATATTTTCGGGATATTTTCAGGGTATTTTTAGGATATTTCACACTCTCACCTCCCTGTACAGATGTTTCTGGGATATTTTTGGGGTATTTTTGTGATATTTTTGGGGTATTTTTGGGGTATTTTCGAGATATTTTCGGGATATTTTCGGGATATTTTCGGGATGTTTTCTGGATTTTTCTCACTCTCACCTCTCTGTACAGGTGAATTCTGGTGTTTTGGGATATTTTTGGGTGTTTTGGGGATATTTTCGGGTATTTTTATGATATTTTCAGTATATTTCTCACTCTCACCTCTCTGTACAGGTGAATCCCGGGGTCGTTCCCACTCAGCAGGAACACCGTCTCCAGGTGCTCCCCCACCCGGACCCTGCGGATTTGGGGCACTTTCAGGCTTTTTTAGCTCATTTTTTTATTATTTTGGGTTTTTTAAAAATTTTTATTTTATTTTTTGGGGATTTTTTGGGGTTTTTGTGGCACTCACTCGGCGTGGCACAGCTGGAAGGGGGTGAAGTGCAGCTCCAGGTTCAGGCAGCTCTCTGGGGGAAAGGGGGGGGTCAGGGACCTTTTTTGGGATCCCAAATCCATTTTTGGGGTTCTAAGCCCCATTTTT